TTGATATATGTTATAGGTTTACATTTAACAATCTGTTATCCCCTCAGCGAATGGGAATGGGAGAAATAATAGGTCGATTTTGTAGCTGTTAAATTTGGCAGCAGGTTTGGTCGTTTGTTAATTCATGGCAATCTCGAAATTTGTTTGAAGTTCAATATACTGTGTGTATATTATGAGATCATTATAGCTACACATACCTGTTGAATTGTGCGGATTTGCAAGAAAATAGAATATAAAATGTATTCCAACCAATTCCTCATCTCTCTTTACATCATAATAGTAATCATTTGTTATAAATTCATGAGTTAATGAATTTCTTCAAAGCAATCAAAACATTATGGTCGTCCCCATCCTAAAATACCGATATGTGTAAAACATGTTAATCCCTACATCTCCGAGGTGCATAATGCAATTACTGTAGACATAGACCTAAAATTATTAGTAATTACTGAAAAATAATGTCGGGTTCATGCACGACTTAACGTAACCGAATTTAAGGATCAGCTGTTTCTACACCAGTGTCCTCCACATGTTACGCCGCCAGATGGTAACTATACTCTAGGCGCTGAAGAAAGAAACTAAACCCAAACAAATACACGCATATTGCTCGTGAGTGAGTGTTTAGGCGCAGGAGACATTACAGGACCGCATCAAGATATTATGGGTAGTCATCAAAAATTTCATACAAGATAATTATTATCTTTTACAGTAAATTTCAGTTAGAGATTCACAAATGAGTTAACTACACTTTTTAGTTATTAGTAAGTAAGCTGCGCGCACTCATTCAGAAGAGGAACTTGAATCTCCTGAATCGTTTAAATGAATTATTAGAGGTTCAATTTGGGTATCGATGACATTGTCCAAATCCCACATTTTGACCTCAACCTTCTCCCGAACGTGGCGGATACAGTTTTTCCATTCCTCTGCCGTAACTTTATTGACTGCGATGTGAAAGAGATTTTTAACATCAGAAAATTTATAAGTATTATTATTCGACGCCACGTATTGCTTTATGTTGGCCCAAATCAGCTCAATAGGGTTCAGCTCACAATGGTAGGGTGGCAGTCTCAAGACAGTTTTATTTTGTTTTTTGGCCATTTCGTCGATCATTTTAAAATCGTATTTGTATTTATGTCTATTGACTATAGTTATCAATTCACCCTTGACCATTGTTTCATCAAAATCGATCTGTTTTGAGGCCAGCCATTGTTGTATGTTTGCTTTTTTAGTTGCCATTGTGGGAATTTTTTCTATTTTTCTAGAATGGTACGGGGCATTATCCAGTACAATAACAGCGTTATTCTCCAGCTTTAGTAACATTTGGAGAACCAATTTTCAAAGGAATTGCCGTCCATCTCCTCATGATAGTCCCCTGTCTTTTTTGATTCAAAGGCCCACAGTGCTTCGGGAACAAAGCCGTCTTCACTACCTACGTGACAAATGATCAGCCGTTTGCCTTTTCCTGGAAATAAATTATTCCTTACACTATGGATTGATTAAATTTGAAGGAATGAGGCAATTGAGTTCATTTAGCTGAATTTAAGAGTCACGGAATGCTGATCAAAAACTGAAAAACGTAGAAAATTGAAGTTTGCAACTTCTCAAAACCCATTCAAAGCAAATTGACTGCACCCAAAAATGATAATAAATTTCAAAATAACGCTTAAAAGAGGGTCGAAGTTTTTTTCCTAATGACTACACTGCGAATGCACCATTTTTGGAGAATATCACACATTATCTGCTATCACAGCATATTATTTGCCCGAATTTATCAAAATTAAATTGCCGGATAGATGAAGGAGCTTACCTGCAGGATTTTTCAATCCAGCCGAAAGACCGTCTAGAAAAGCCTGCCTTGATGATGTTACTGATTTGTCGACCCAAACTTTCGCTTGACTATGTCCAGCATTCACCCACGTTTCATCCAAATAGTAAATTTTTCTTTTTCATCTTCCGAATCTTCCTAAGGTATTCCCTTCTCCACACAACAATTTCTTCTTTCTCTATTAACATACTGTTTCTTCCCCGTTTCAAGAATCGAAAATTAAGTTCCTTCAAAAGTTTTCGGAATGTGGTTCTTTTAAATGATGGAAGATCCTCATCAGCATTAACTAATCTTAATATCTTATCTACTGTGGGTATCTCATTTCGGAAGAAAAAATTATGCACTTTCCTCCTGATGGCAGTTCTGTCAAAGTCATCTACTCCGTCCGTTATCCTTTTTTTTGCAGGATACGGTTTTGGCTCAGAAAGTGAGTGAGTGCTCCTATATTCCTTAATGATCCTATAAACACTGGACCGACATACTCCAGAAATATGTGCTACCTTACATATAACTTCGTCCACGACCAAATCGGGTTTTTCTTGAATTTGGTTTTTGTAAATATTTAATATTATTTGTTTTTCATTTGCACTTAAATGTAGCTTCTTAGCCCTTTTTTTGGGTGGGGTTGCGCTGATGTCAACCACTTCGTCGGCTGTATCTGTGTCAGACATCGTATCTTAGGCAATATATAAACAAAACGTTCCACTCGCGAAAAACGAGTATACGCTACTGAATGCGTAATGCGTATGCAATGCAATCCTGTGCGTGAATTAACTGTTAGATGCCTGTCGTGTCATCTACAATCACGTTTACAAGTCCAAACCTGTGCAGATTCGTAGAGCGCCGACGACTGCTAGTGACCTTGAATTTGTCTGTAGATCGATGTTACTCCAGTCAATTTAGGTTCAAAGTGGATGTTTTCTAAACCAATTTGTTGTTCCTACATCAAAAATACATCGATGATGTTTTGTACTGGGAGCTCATGAAAGATCAAGGTAACTTATTTTAACAGTCATCCTTTTTCTAGTCTCAAGATGACACGAAAAAGGGTCTGTGGATTCACTAGAAATACACTGCCGAGGATGTTTAGACCTAAAGTGACTGGAGTATATCCATGGATGCTTTCGAGGGATCTGTTCACGTGCTGATCACTGTTTACGTTTAATGTCTTTCTTCAGCGCTCAGAGTTTAGCTAGTGATTTCCAGTGGTGGTCAACCGTTTTGGTGACGTCACAGCCATTTTTTGACATGATTCGGGTGGTTTCGGAACTCGTCTTACCCTTGGATAGCCCTTTCTATACTGTTCTATGCTCGTATTGCCGTAATTATAATAATTATGTGGTGTCTCGTGTTCCACGACGATTTACGGTCAAAGCCAGGCGGTGAATCATCTGTTGTTTTTGTTTGAGTTTTTGACGAATTTGCGGTAGAGATTTGTTTTGGTGTTCGTCTTCGGGTGTGTTTTTCTGCCTTGGACTTGTTTTTTGTGCGATTAATTGAGGATGGCCATGCCTAGAGCAAAAAAAACGAGAGCCGCGCTGGTATCAACTCCTGATCGTGGTGAAGAGGTACCTGCAGAAGGCACCTGAACGCAATCGGACATCGCCAGAGGAGCACCTTGAATCTGCACGAACCCCTAAATACGTGGTTATGTTGAATGTACCATCACCGATGGTGCGACTGATTATACACTGAATTTAAAATAAAAAACTGCAACTGCAATTGTATGCATGAATGTTGAAACTCTTGAACAGTTTCGGACCAGTGGGGTTAAAATATCGTTGAGGAATTGGAAAGAAGTGTATGAATGTGTTGAAATGCAACACCTAACAAAAATTTGAGTGAAAAGGCTTTTTCATGTAAGGGTTTGCAAATATAGGATAAACTATATGTTAAGCACACAGTAGGTGATATAATCATACATGGATTACAAAAGTTGCAGTAAACATGGAAAAACATTCAGCTAATCTGAAAAAATAGATTTTACTCAGACATCAAGCATTTTTTAAAATTTTGGCTCAGTTTTACATAATTTCATAATATTTAATAAACTGAAAAGATTTCAATAGCAAGCTGTCACTTCATGTTTTACAGTGATATTTGCTGCCAAAAATTTGACGGAGAGATCTTGAGGCTGATTGGGTATATTGAACGGACTGTTTGGTACTCGTACCCTATTGGTGTAGAATAATGGTTTGTTAAATTGTGAAATCCACCCTTATACAGAAATATCTTAAATTTTTATTTTTAAAGCTAATTTTTTTGGAATTCAAGTTGTGGCCCTAAAAAGGGCCGATTAAAAAAATACCCCCGTAAATGCTCGACCATCACGCTGTATGCATTCCTGAAGCCTCTCATGGGTGGACAAAAGCAGCTTCAATTTCGGCTCTCCGTATGTTACGTATTGCATTACGAATCCGGTTTTTCATATCTTCTCTGGTTGAAGGTTGAGTCTGAAACACGGTGTCCTTCAACTGTCCACATAAATAAAACTCAAGACAGATTAAGTCTGGTGATCACAAAGGCCATGGAAACAGACTTCCTTTCCAATCCATCGCTGTTGAAATTCTGCATCAATATGCTCTCGCACAATAATAGCAAAAATGTGTTGGGCAACCATGAATAAAAAGGAATTCCAGAAAAATTAGTTTAAAGAAATGAAAATTCACGGGATTTCTGTAGGCTACATCTAGCTACTTTTTTATAAAAAATTATGTCATTTAATTTTTTGGTAAGTTAAGCATTTCTGTTGGAATGTCGAGAAAGGCCCTGTAGCGGTTACACGTGGAACTAACAAAATTTCAAATATTATAACACTTGTAGCCCAGGATTAGCTGTTTTCCATTAGCCCAAGTTTGTTAAAATCGGCTCAGCCGTTTAGAAGATAAAGGGTGTTTCTTACGGAAACCTTTGAATACACCCCCCCCACCACTTTGTTTTTAGAGATAAACTGTCAAACAAAGAAGTTCACATTATCCTCGACTTTAATGATCAGACATTTTAGTTTTATATAAACGGAATTCAGAGAAATACTACTTTTTTAGATTAAAGATTTCAGTTACGTCCCCTAGCGGCCATTTCACAAACTTGAAAATATTTTCCAGGTTTTTCTCTAGGACTTTTTAGCAAGAACTCGCAAATACCTTGCATTCTTAGTTGGCCACCCTGTACCAAGTCAGTCCGTAAACTTTTTGACACACCCTGGTAGATAGTAAAGATCACTCACCTGGTGGTATAAATGCAGATTCGACTTGGAGAGCCCCACAACCGCCACAATGTACGACGCACACGTGCCCAAGCTGAGGATCACACAATACCTCAACCTGATGGGCAACGTAACGTAGATGAGATAGTCCAATAGAAGCACCCAGCCGAGACTGTCCCTGGACGTAACCTCGTTCTTCTTCAGGAACAGAGCGGCCAATAGTTGGTAGTTGGCAACGTGCCAACTCACGTGAGGTGCAGCAGCCCAGAGGTTCTTGTTGGACACGTGGCGACGGCACCAGCTCAGGATGCACGTGGAGACTAGGAGGAAAATGCCCATCGTGGCGTAGATCAGCAGGTCTTGGCCATTTGGTACCTGAAAAGGACAAGAAAAGGATTAAGATCGCATGCCCCTTTTATCGCTTTTTTCAACTACCTATTTACAACAGTGTTCTATTCTTTTCATCTGATTACTGTATAGAGATGAGTAAAAACATCGTTTTGTCATTAAATGCATTTTTTGTGTATTTTATTGTGGATTTTTTCTTCGATCGTAGCTTGTTGACGAATATTGGTACAGTTCTGAAATTGTATGTGAGTATTCCACTTTTATGGACGAATGAAACAAGTGATTACTTTTATTCTTATCACTTTTTCTCTTGGAAAAATCTTAACTTGCTGCGAGACGAGGCTTCATGAAATTCAAAGGTATTTCGAAAAGGAAAAATGATATGGACAAAAGTAATCACTTGTTTCATTCTTCCCTAAAAGAGGAATATTTACACAATTTCAAAGCTGTACTTAGATTTGTTAACAAGTTCCAATTGAAGAAAAAATGCAAAGTAAAATGCATTTTTTGACAAAAAAAAATTAAAACATTGTTTTTAGTCATCTGTATACGAGGGATGTCTTTTAAGCTTTGCATACAAAAACATAGTAGGCCGCGCGGATCGAACGTCAGTACAGAATCTTAACCTCACTCTTTAGTAAGCTTAAATTCAAAGTTTCACAACAATACGTGCAGGGTTCTCACTACAGTGAATTTTCAAGTGTCACCAAGTCATTAGAAAAATGGGTCATATTGCAAGAATTCCTCTTAATGAACAAAGAACTGTTACTGCGGATTAGTATACCACCATTTGTTTGCCAAAAGTCATCACCGAGCTTCGAAAAATCAACGCCGAAAGAAGAATCATCCTCCACCAAGACGATGCAAGCTCGCACACAGCCCAAAAAACAAGGCAGTATTTAACGGAAGAAAACGTGGAATTATCGGACCATCCTACATATATTCCCGATCTAACGATTTCTTTACTTTCCCGAAAATTAAAAACAAAGGTTTCAGTCACCAGAAGAATAAGTTGACGCGTTCAAAAATGCCGTTTTGGATCTGCCAGCAAACCGTGTTGTTTTATTTCCATATGCAAAACTTAAAAGATATCCCTCGTACACACCACGAAATTATCAGATGAACAGTTGAAAAACATCGAAATAAGGGTGGTGCCACTTTAAGTTAGTTCAAAGGTTTTCGGTAATATCTTCTGTGTGTTGTGGTTTTACTTCCTATGACAAAACTGGCGAGGAAGTATTGTAATCGGAAAAAATTTCGAAATTGAAATTATATGCTCTTTGGATGGTATATAACATGTACATCATGAAAATCATCAGTCACTCATTTCCGTCAGTCTGCCCGCTAATTTTATAACAGCCTTTACAAGTACCGCTCGGATTTTAATGAAATTTTCACACTAGGTTACTACTATACCCAGAATAAAAAAACGTTGTAGTTTTTGACAGCCGGTCTTGTAGTGGCGGAGCTAGGGTCAAGAGCACAAAGAAAATAAAAAACGCCCAAACTGCGTTTTTTGTCATTTCCCAGCCTCTTGACCAGAGTTCCCCAAACTTTTTTGTGTCGTAGACCCCTTGCCATGTTTTTCCGTGTTGGGTAGACCCCCTACTTACCTGATATTGATTTCCTGTAAATTTCTAACTGTAGTGAAGTTTAGTGTTAAAAACTTAAAGTAAAAACACATGTTAATTTATACATTTGTCAATTGAATTTAAATTAAAACTACTCAAAATAAAATATACGTAACATTAAATAAACAGGTGTCTGACCAAAATATCCTCATTGGGAATAAGTGCCCGCATTGAAAAAATATAAGAGGGATAAAATAAAATAAAAGTGAAAAACAATAAAAAAAAAGTGTTTTACTTAAAATAGTACAATAAGCGAGTTCGTTTATTAATTATAACATAAACGTATGTTCTACAATAATTTCACTGTTAGTTTGATTAAATTCCGCTTCTTATAGGTTTAAGTTATCTAAAAGTAGGCAAAAAATTAACGAATTTTAGTGTGTACCTATCCTTGAATTTTCAGAATAATTTAAAAAAAATATATTTTCTATAAAGGGGGGTTCTTTAAAAAAATCAATGCGGGCACTTATTCCCAATGCGTGCATTTATTGGTCAGGCACCAATAAACATAAAATAAACTATAAATAAAATAGCATAAGCAATAAGTCAATATTTTTAGTGAGTAGGATGAACCTGATGCTTTAATAATAAATTATCAACATTTGGCGTCAATTTTGTAAGGGTTAATCTCGGCTAATGATGTCCAGTCTGTTTCTTTTTTTCGTTATGAGTTTGGTAACAGCGCTGAACCCCCTTTCCACTAGGTATGACGATGGAAAAGAAATTAAAAATTTCCTCGCTATATTCCATAATACGGGATAAGTAACGGGTATGTTGTTTTGCAGCCAGAATTGCTGATATCCGTTTTTAAACTGAACCTTAAGTTCTACGTTTGTACTTAGTTCAGTCAGTTCCTCTTCTATTATGACATTCGTTTCTTCTATGTCACCATATGGATTAATTATCCACGGTGGTATTACCATAGTCAAAATATCCTCAAACCTAGATTCAAAATCTGAATAGAGGGCATTTAAATGTTGAACGTAAGTTGAAACGTCGTCTTCCTGGCAGCTTGTCTGTAACAAATTGGGGAACTGAGAAAATTCGCCCCGTCCAATATATTGCTTCATTAGTTTAACTCTGGCAAGAAACGCTGATAAGATGGACTTTGTTTTAATCAAATTTAAACTGTCGCCTTGTAATTGCAAATTAACCATATTAAATTTTGTAAACAAATCTGTTAAATAGGCGATGTCTGTTTTCCTCTTCATTAAATTTTATTTTAAAATTTTATCTTTAATATCCAGAAATTCTAAAATAGTCTCAAAAAGTGCAAAAAATCTTGTCAAACATAAGCCTTTCGACAGCCAGCGTACTTCAGTGTGAAGGAGTAATTGATGAAAGTGTTCGTCATTTTCTTCACACAACTGCGTAAATAACCGCGTATTCAACGCGTTCCTTCGGATTCGGTTTACTGCATCAATGACTAAATGAAGTGATGCATGCAATCTAACACTCAAATTTTTAGCAACTAAATGTTGTCGATGGATGACGCAATGTATTGCTAACACCCCTGACACATTTTGTTTTAAATAGCTTATTAATCCACGATAACGTCCAACCATGGCAGGTGCTCCATCTGTAGCTACTGATATTATATTTGATAAAGAAATTGCTTTTTCAATTAAGTAATCGTTCAAAACATGAAATATTGATTCACCTTTAGTGTCGATTATCAAAGTTCTTGCGAAGAGCAGTTCTTCGTAGATTTCTTGATTCATAATAAAACGAACATATGCCAATAATAATGCTGCATTATCAGGTAAAGTTGACTCATCCAGTTGTATAGAGAAATGGGTCGTTTGCAAATAATTACATAAGAAGCTTTCAATATCACAACTCATTTCATCAATACGTCTTTCAACAGTATTGTTGCTTAAGGGAATTCTTTTAATGATATCAGATGCAGGTTTGTGTAAAACAGTTTTTAAAACCTCTTCAACGGCTGGCAAAATTAGCTTCTCTCCGATAGTATGCGGTTTTCTGGATTTTGCTATAAGTAACGAGATATTGTAAGACGCCCGCAAACCATCATCATTTCTTTGTGACGTCGAAGCGAACATTCTGTCCAGTCTAGGTCTCTTCTGAAATTTATCTTTGAGTGTTTGAAAGTATTTCAAATCTTTCTCTGTTTTATCAGGGTGGCATCTTCTCAGATGATCTTGCAGTTTAGATGGTTTCATAGCGTCATTGCCCAAAATTTTGTTGCATAAAAGGCACATCGGCGATTGTTTGTCCGGCAATGATGGAATGAAGCCAAATTTCAAATAATCAACACTGTACTGTGTACATTTCTTTTTAGATTCATCAGTCATCTGTGGGCAAAATTAAATTATTTAATTAAGACAGAAAATCCAGCAGCTGTATATTAAAAATATTTTTTGCTTTTTCCGAAAACATTCCATAATTCGAACATCTTCTTGCAACAATTAGCTCGAATTACGGAGATTGCACTGTAATTATATTACCGATTGCTAAAACTTTCAAAAGGAAACTATTGAGGAGTACCCGTGTAATTTTGCATGAATGAATATTTAACTACTAATTACTAAAGTCATGATTGGCGTAATTTATTTATCTTTGCTAACTACGAGTACAAAACTAAAATTTAATAAAACATAATGTACTTTTTTTCGCTGACGTAGACCCCTTGCAGGTTGTCATAGACCCCTAGGGGTCGATATAGACCACTTTGGGAATCAATGCTCTTGACCATTTTCGGAATTTTTTGTAGGGGTTGAAACTTGGGTGTTGCGATTGTAAATGTGACGTCTTTAGTATTAGTCAAAGACGTTCTATCATTAACACACTTCTGTTCTTAGTAAAAACGGGAAAATTAAATGTTAAAGGTCCGAAATGTGCTCACAGTTTAAAATAACTTGGCGTTGCGTGCACTCCGCGATCCTGCATCGTCGGCCTTTGCCAACTATGGTATGGGTAACAAACTCCAACTGGTCTGCGGTGGTGTCGTCACGGATACACCGCTACAGAAGAAATTTTTATATATTCTAGCAATATTTGGTATCTGAGGTACGTACCACTTACTCGCATATCAGACAATCAGTAAAAAAAGTTAAGAAAAATGGAAAAGATGAGAGCAAACGTGCTGAATAAATTATTTCCTAAGGATCTGTGATCTCAACATGATACATGACCATTCAAGCTATGTCGCAATACACTATAGTAATGAAGAAAAAAAAAAGTATTCTGGAAGACAGATAAGAGAAATATATTGCCATTGATTGTCATTTTATTTGGAAAAGGAGGACGTGGATGTAGCAGAAATGTCGTACAATAAAGAGGGATTGAAATATATACTAAGTGACATATAAATCAGAACACCCAGTTTGAATGGTTTTATTTAAATAAAATTTTGTATAAGTACTTAATGAAGCATAATAAGTAAATGATAAAAATGTCAAAATGATTGCACTGCTTTAAAGCACTTTGACCTTTAATAATGTGTGGATGCACCCTGATGTGCTACGCATTCTCCAACGCGCCTAGGCATGCTTCTGATCAGGTGGTCAATGTCCTCCTGTGGTATCTCATTCCAGGCAACCACCAACTCCTCTCGAAGTGCTTCTAGAGTCTGAGGAGGACGTTGCAAATTGAGCAATCTCCTACCCATCATATCCCACACGTGCTCAATTGGGGATAAGTCGGGAGATCTTGGTGGTCATGGTAACAATGTGACATTATTATGTTGAAAGAAGTCTATTGTGACTCTTGCAACATGTGGTAGGACATTAAAAAACTGTGGATTCCTCCTTTCACCACGTCGCCTGGCACGACCATCGTGCATGCGTAAACAAATCGAGACTCGTCACTAAAGACAATACCGTTCCATTCCTGATCCCAGAGTGACCGTTGGCTGCACCACTCAAGGCGATTACGTCGGTGTTCTCGAGTTAAAAGGAGGACCCAGTCTGGCCGGTATGAAAACAAGCCAAAACTTCTCATTCGTCGGTAAACACTTCGCATGCCAATAGGTCTTCCGTGTTCTGCAAACCATTCATTTGCAATGGACCTGGTAGTGGAGAAACGGTCCTTTAAGGCCAAAAACCTTAGGCGGCGATCTTCACGGTCTGTTGTTCTACTGCGGCGTTCAGTGCCCCTTGCTCTTTGCGTACGGCCTTCTCGAAGCCATGCCTGACAACACCTAACCACAGTGTCTACACTACTTTGCACTCTACCTGCAATTGCCCGAAAAGAAAGTCCAGCTTCCTGAAGTCCCACTATACGGCCCCTGTCAAACTCACTAAGTTGACGAAATCGTACAGGTCTCCGTACTATAGGCATCGTAACCGATCGTAAAGGATGTCAAGAACCAAAATCCGCCAACGTTGATTCTTTACTGCGGCTTAAATATTCATTTTTAGAGCGTTAGTGAATTAAAAAAAGCAGTATAAAAACCGGAATGTCCAACTGATAAGGCTGAAAATTTTTTCACTTGTTATTTACAGTAAGATAAATACATTCAACAACTTTTATTAAAATAAAACCATTTAAACTGGGTGTTCGGATTTATATATCACTTAGTATATGTGGTTTGAATTAGCGATCCGGTAATGGGTCTGAACTATCAACCACATGACAAGTTTCAAGTGTTACGTTATCTAAGTTTCGTTTTGCGCTGTCTCCTATGACTATTTTGGGCAGTACTGCTAGGGTATTACGTAAAAAAACAAACAAAGCGTAAAATAAACTGACAATATGATATCTTGCAGACTAGGTACGTTTCCTCGCAATGATCGCTGCGAGCGTCATCAAAAACGTCAATCTATGGAGGAATGACTCAACGACACGACACGCTCAAGCATGCATTGCTGGTTGCAGAAAGCTAGGTAGTGTTTATCTTTGAGAATATGTGAAAGAAAGAAAGTTGGTTGAGTAGCAAGATCGCATTTGGATGATTATGTGTATTCTGCATATACAGGGCGTTACTTAATGATATGCGAATATTTAAGGGTGTGAATCTACATGAAAAAATGTTAGTTTGCTTCATAAACTATGGTCCAAAAATTTTTCCTTACAAAAACTCGGGGTGTTGAAGTTTTAGGAAAAAAATGGAAATTAATGAATATTTTCAGAACCGCTTCAGATATTTCACTGATATTTAAGTAGTGAAAGTTAATCAAAGTTGCATATTTTTCAATGCAAAAATAATTTTTAGCTTTAACAGTGGCGTGCGTACGAGTATTAACTACAATATTTTTTATGAAAAAAATCGTACGCCAATGTCTTTTTGCCAAATAAAAATTATTTTTGAATTCCACATTCAATGGCAAATGATCTCTCTTGAACTGCTTTGTTTCGATGCGCCATAAGAAAATAAAAACCGTTTTATTGTCCGAAAAAATTAATGTAATAATTGAAGAATGCAATTTAGCAATAAATATCTAGTTGCTCTGGAATACGTCACTCACTTTTGACATCTGTCAAGTCTCGGTTATTCAAATCTGTTCGCTGTGACATTTTTTTCATTATTTAGTTTTTACAATTTTGTTAATAATGGTGATTATTCAAATGCAGAAATGGCGGAAAAGCATTACGTATATGGCCTTGCCGACGGTAATGGTGAGCAAGCCAGACGGATTTATCACCAGAGATATCCCGATCGTGCTTTGCCAGATAGTCGAACCTTTTCTAACACTTATCGTCGTCTTGTTGAAACTGGTCCGTCCGAAAAGGAACATCTGAAAGTAGACCTCTAAGTGTGAGAACACAAATATTTGCCATCAAATTGTTTGGAGAATTTTAGTGGATTTTAAGAAAAAGAATAATTGCAGCTTGTGATAGAATAAAAAACACTCCAGGGATATTTCAACGAGTGCGCAATTCCATGTGAAGGAGGACGGAAGCATGCATACTAAGTGAAGGGGGCCATTATCAACAATTTTTGTAATTATTGCGATGGTTTTGACGTTATATTTATGTTGTCAGTTGTTGTTGTTCATTTCCCCTAATGTGTTTAATTTTTCCAATTAAATTAATAATAATTTTCCAAGTTAGACAATAGAACGATTTTTATTTTTTACTCAAAAATGGTGCATCGAAAGAAAGCAACTCGAGAGAGTGTGTTAAATTGAACGGGGAATCCAAAATAATTTTCATTTGGCAAAAAACCATTGGCGTATAATTTTTTCTTAAAGTCAATACCCTTACGCACGCCACTGTTAAAGGCTAAAATTATTTTTGGATTGGAAAATATGCAACTTTATTAACTTCTACTAGATACTAAATATCAGTGGAACATCTGAAGCGGTAGCTAAAAATATTAATTAATTTCCATTTTTTTTCCTAAAACTTCAACACCCCGAGTTTTTGTAAGGAAACATTTTTCTACCATAGTTTATAAAGAAAACTAACATTAATTTTTCAGGTAGATTCACACCCTTAAATATTCGCATATCATTAAGAAACACCCTGTATATAAAAGTGTGATATTTGCCGTATAAGAAAATTATTACTAAACATGCTTCCAATGAGGTATATCTATTAGCTGTGCCCGATGGGCTATTTATATGTTGTCCTTTCTGAAGAGAGGTTATTTTATTCTTCCCGTTTTTGTTTCAAAAGATTTGAGTGCAATTAAGCCACATCCCAGAAAAATTAGGAATGACGCATCACCCATCAAACATTTTGTAATGACTCACATCTAGGCGCTGAATGACTGGAAATAAGTATAGATATTCCTGTCTATAGCATATTTTCTCAACTGCTCCTTCACCAGCCATGGATTTTATTATCTCTTTCATTTTTGAATTTCAGCAGATTTGCATAATGTAGTGCATAATAGTGGACACGCAACTAATTTCTAGATGTGAATATCAAGTGAGTGTACTTGAGACAAGAAACCAATGAAATTGTCATCGACGCTTATTACCACACAAATCCTTACTATGTCCTATGCACTGCCGTTTCCTTCTAGCTATAATATAATGGGTGATTTTTTTTGCTAGTATCTTTTTGGCAACACTGTTTTTGACAGATGACGCGTGAATCGTGTCTTGTGTCATTGTCAAACTTGTTCAGTTTGGTCTGTAATTCTGTAATTTAACCATGAATCGACTTACGAATG